AGGAAGACACAGATGAAACCAGTGATGATGATGATAATTATGAGAACATGAAGGATGAAGATAATTACAAAGGATGCACACCACTGTCTGTGAGTATAGAGGACAGAGCAGAGGAAGACACAGACAAACCCAGTGATGATGATGATGATAATGAAAACGACTATGAAAATGTAACGGAGGAATATGCTGAACAAACTGTAGACATTTATGGAGAGGAGCAGAAATTTTATCAAATCTTTTCCAATGATTAGTATCAACCTGGGGAGCCAACATATGAGAACTACACAAGAAGAATACACACATCAACACTTTGAAGTCCTTTGATCTTCTCGGTGTGAACTTCTATTTCATAGTGTGACATGAATCTAATATCTAATAAAATCTAATGCAGTGTTTGTTAACTCAGCCAAGGCAGTTATGTTTATGTACGTGAGTCATTCTGTCTATATGTACAAAAAACTGTACAATAGCTTGAAAGGTTTTTAACAATTTTTGATTAAACCTTGTAGGGGTGTAGGACAGGGTCATGTTAACAATCCGTTAACATCCTTACATCCACCAAAGTCACCAAAGTCAACTCAGTTAGTTAAAACTGATATAAACCCATATACTACAACAAAGAAACTAGGATTTTTACACATGCGGTGTGAGCTGTCAACATATAGAAAATACCTAAAGTCCTACTTTAACTGCAACCACTCCTTCAAGGTCAATAGATTGAGCTGAAGGTACCACATATGATATATATGGATATATAAGTTCAGGATCTGTGCTAACAAAACCACGAAGGCAAGGCACCGAGGAGGTATCCTGATTAGATTACTCAGCCTCTTCACTTGGCTCCTTTCAATGTGAATGAGCAGAAGCTCTACTTTGAGCTTCCTCTGGATGTCTACTGTATTTACACTACCTGCAACACTGAACCAAACCACTACCCAGAGGAAACTCATTTCAACAGCTTACATCCACAACCTCATTTATTTGGACACTATGCTGAGCTTAGTCCTGCTGACATCCCACAAGTCTACCAGGACAGCTCATGCTTCACTTTCCCACCACTGTGAACCGGATCCCACCAGGCATTCTGTTTCTAGCACAGAATCAAGGCCTTGGATTTGGAGCTGATGACTCATCTTCACTGCCGGCCACAAAATCAAATGTTGGTTGAATGTTGTAATTTTTATCGATGCCTACACAACATGCCATTTGCAAAAAGAAGTTGCCAGGATTGTCCCATGTCTCCGACCCTATTTGTTATATTCAGTGTTGGGAAGGTTATTTTAAAATGTATTCCACTACAGATTACAGAATACATGCCCCAAAATGTATTTTGTAACATATTCCGTTACGTTACTCAATGAGAGTAACGTATTCTGAATACTTTGGAATACTTAATATATTATCATGCTTTTTACAACTACATGGATGCACTATTGCCATGTGATTTATTACTATTACTGAAGGTTACTCGCCATACCAATACCTTATTATAAAATGACTAACGTAGGGTGGACATTAGGTAAGATTGCACTTTTTGCAGCCATCTCGTATAGAAAACTTCCATGTGTATATAAAACAGGTCCATGGCTCTGAATGGTAGTAAAGGGACCTCTGGCTAATACGTCGGGTTCCGTGTCGGGCCCGTAACTAGTTTTACTGTCTCTCGCTAGCAAAGAGAGGTGTTGAAAGGCTGCTTCAACCGAACTTATTGTTTCAGAGGAAAACATGAACACTGTGTACAGTCGAGTCTTAATAGCTTACTTACAACTGGGCTCGTCAGGCACTGTTTTTGGCTGCAGTGGTTATTATTATATTTACTTGCTTCATACATGCTATGCATGTAACACACTGCCTATTGCCTTCATATTAAATAATTTTTTGAATAATAATTTTTAAATATATTTCTTCACATAATTATGCAAGTAGGGTTGGACATGGGCCGCGAGATTGAGACACAGGCATTAGAGCCTCTTAATGTGTGTTTTGTTTGGGTTTCCACCGGCGTGGAATTACCAAAAATAGAGAGGGCATAGCCTAACATATGAGACTGGAAAAGACCGCTGTGTAATCCATTTATTTCAACAAAGTAACTGTATTCTGAATATCACCTTTTTAAATGGTAACTGTAATGGACTATATTACAATATCATTTGATATTGGAAAGCATCAGTAATTAATTAGAGATTATGTATCGGAATTTCAGGAGCAGGACCACGCCTCCAAACACGTTCCTTCCGGTTGTCATCTATATAGGTTCCCCCAGTTCTGCAAGCTGTTCATTCTCGTTTACGTGCCCCACCTTCCCTTCCTCCTTGTTCTCAATTCTTTAACTTCTTCATTTCTTTTTAGTGCATGGGTATCTGCCAGGCCCGGGAGCCATCAACAGTACCGTTCGGGGCCTTCCCCAAACCACAGCTCAATTCATGTCAAAGCATTCACATTTACCTACGAAAACGCTGTCAAACCTAAAATACGGACGTGGGCCCAGCTAGTGAATGTATTCTTAATGTAGCAGTGATGGCCTGGCTTCTAATGGGTTTTGCCCCATAGATAATGGACCCTAGCTGCCATGGCTAGCCAGCCCCATGACCAACCTAACCTAGCTCCTTAAACTAGCCCCTAACTAAGAAGAACTGTTTCATAAATTTCAAAGATGAACTAAGTAAATAAAACACATACATACATATATAAGAGCATCTGAGAAGGCTGACTGTATTGTAGCCAGGCTGACAAAGAGTCACAGCTCTGTTGAACCTTTATCTATTATTAATCTAAACTTGACAAACTTCCTTACAAATAAAATTTCAACCATTCAAGATGGAAAAAGAGGAATTTATACTGCTTTTCTCATCTCTCTGAGGTAACATTAATAATTAGTTAGTCCATTCCATCAGCATATCTATTGGCCCCCAACTCTATAAGATTATTCAGTATTGCCTATATGGCTCATATTTGATCCAAGTGTTTTACCCAATTATAGCTTTTCTTCAAAAGTCTCTGTGCTTGTCTTGCTTGGCCTCGCAGTGGGCACCATACTGCATATGAAGATGCTACCTAGTTCTATTTATATACATACTAGTTATATTTATGTATTACACCAGACACACACAGCATCTTGATTAAACTACGGCCATGTCTTAAAGACAAAGACCTTGAGCACCTGTGATTTTCTACTTTAATGACATGAAATATGGTGTCTAAACACATTTCACAGACCAGATGCTGATTCAGAGTAGCAATACCATGAATAATGTGACAAAACCTTGGGTTGAGTTTTGACCAGCATGTAGACCTGCATTCTTTCATCTACATTGTATTACCATCAATAACCCTGTAACACCAAGTGTGTCATATTTGACAAATGATATTTGAGGCATCATTAGTGTGATGCTATTTTTCCTGACAAAGTTGATGCATATATCAGTCACATGTAGTTCTTTCTGGAATTTTTGGTTTTTAGTCAGTTGTTCATTAGTTAGACTGTAATGTTAGTCACACTTTGCTTCGTGATATTTTTGTCCTGTGACAGCTGTAGTTTCAAAATATATGCAACACTAACACTGCGACCTTTGATCAAAGTAGTTTCATATATTTTTGTTTTCATCTTGCTGTCTCTTGTCAGAAAACATAAAAGCGGTGAGAAATTAAGTGTGAAATGCTTAGTTCCTCTTTAGTTCATCTGCAGTACGCCCAACAATGGAAATTCTTCTGAGCTTGGTGTGAAATTCTACTTCTCTGTGAAACTGATAAGCTGTGTTGAAGGTCATAACTGATGAGAGCTGTGACCCAGATATCAAACAGCATCTTTTTGCATCAAGTCAGCTACATTATCGCAGTTTTAAACATGTTTTATTACATATATCAAATCAAATCAAATCAAATCACTTTTATTGTCACATCACATGTGCAGGTACATTGGTACAGTACATGTACCAATGTATATATATATATATATATATATGTACTGTATATATGTATATGTATGTATATGTATATATATATATGTATATATATATGTAT